GAGGCTGAGGTGGGTGGAGGCTGAGGTGGGTAGAGGCCTGAGGTGGGTGGAGGCTGAGGTGGGTGGAGGCTGGGGTGCTGCTGGACATCTAGCGTTCTACCCGAGGTCCATCGTGCTGAAGCTGGGAACTGGAATCAAGGTGTTGTTGCTGTTAGGAAGGACGAGTGGCCTCATACATATTGACCATCACTCAGTGAGAAAATGGGCTTATGATTCACGCGTGTGATCGGGGCCTGTCATGGCCGCCATGGCCTCACTGGGACAGGGAGGCCTGGGGCTGGAGGCGCGGGGGTCTTCATTCCTCTTTCACTCCGTCCTCCCCCCACTGGCTACTCCTGGGGCCAGGCTGACATCTCCTGGGAGCCAGATGGGCGATGGGCTCTGCTGTCCAGGTCTGGGCTGGACAGCCACCTCCCAGCAGGGCCAGGAGACAGATTTACCAGGGCTTCCAAAGGCACGACCAGCCCTTTAATTCAGAGGCGCGTTCCTGGCCCGGCTGGACCCTGCCCAGCAGCGGCCACCTCCCTCCCCGCACTCTGGCTCACAACACCTGGTCTGGAATCTGGGACAGCGGCCGGGTGCCACCGAGACCTCTCCTGTCCTCAGCATCGGGAGAGAGAGCTGGAGGCTCCGAGGGAGGAGGGCAGCGGGCCGTTTGCGGGCAGCTATGAAGGCTGGACTCTCCAGCAGAGACCCTCAGAGGCTGAGAGGCCGGGCACCCTGGGGGGTGGGGGACGCTGTGGCCTGGGAGAAACGCCCAGTTCCCTAAGGTCAGCTTCTCTGTGGCAGAGATGGCTGAAGGGCCCCTGCAGTCAGGGGCCTGGACGTGCAGTCCTGGAGCCCCGGCCCTGTCTGGGAGCAGCAGAAACTGATGCCTGTCAGAGTTGGGGAGGAGTGTCCACCGTCCGCAGCAGTCCATTGCTGGCTAGGCCCATCCCCAACCGCAGGAGGACGTCTGTTGGCATCCCCAGCTGCCCATAGGTCCCAGGATGGTCCCTGGGCCATGGCCCCTTCTTGTGGGCAGTCTCAGCCTTGGGTCATGTCCCTGCCCACGACTCCTCCCTCCACTACCCCAACAACACTGGGCCCCTCTGTCCAGCCCGCCCACTCCCCGCAGTCATCGGGACCATGTCCAGGAGGGACTCCCAAGGCCCAGCCCTGTGCAGCCTGCGGCAGTGCCCTCTCCTGGTTCTGCTGTTCCAAGGCACTTTGGGCCCCGCTCCAGACGTGCTGGTTCCCAGAACCCGCGGGGTCAGACCTGGAGAGACCCGTGGGGTCCGCCCTGGCCCTCCTCCCCTGAAGGCCGCAGGGAGGGTCTGGACCTGCTCCATCAGGGGTCTTTCTCTCATTCCCAAGTCTGCCTGTTCGTGTTCGCCGATTTCACGATATTTAAGTCCTTCATTGAGCTAACAACATGAGCAGAACCTGTGGGCTTGGGAACGAGTGTGGTGACACTAGAAGACGTCCCTCCCACTCCGGAGCAGGGGCAGTGCCTCCCCAGGACCCAGGCCGGGTCTCAGCAGGTTTGGGGGAGTCTGGCACAGTACTGAGGTGGGCCAAAGCCACTGGAATGGCATGTCCTGTGATGCAGGAGGGGCAGCAGGGGCAGCTGAGGGGCCTCTGGGCTGGAACCCTTGCTGGCTGGACGAAGGCAGAGAGCCACTCTCCACCTCAACTGCTCAGGCCCTGGACACCAGGCTCTCTCGGGAGCCCAGGGACACAGTTGGGCAAGAGGGCACCTTCCAGGATGGAGGACACAGGACGGAGTGACAGGCGAGGGGATACATGGGGCAGCAAGGCCTGCAGAGGAGGCTGTCCTCAGCCCAGGGAGGTGCAGCTCTTGGCTGGAGAGGGCAGGGGTCCGAGCAATGAGCAGGCCCCAGCACTGACCCTGGACACACTCCACAGGGCAGGAAGGGAGGAGGGCTGGGGGAAGACTTGCAGTGAGACCTGAGTCTCCCAAGAGAGCAGGTGGCCCTGTGGGGCACTGGCCTGGGCATCTGGGGGCTGGAAGACCCAGGCCACACCTGCTGTTTCAGGGGTGGGCGGGAGGGGGCGCCAGAGACCTTATCTTTGCCACGCTGCTGAGGCCGCCAGCAGGCGCCTTCTCATTATCACTAGAGGGTACAGGGCAGCCTTTGTCCACCCAGATGGCCTTATGCAGCCCAGGCATTTTCTTACTCCTGACAGTGGACCTCCTGAGGCCTCTGATGTCCCCATAGGGAGGGCCCTATGCCCTGCAGGGACAGGGGTTGGGACAGGGAAGACCCCAAACCAGGGTTCAGAGCAGTTGCTGGACAAATTCCAAACCCACGGGTACCAGGGTCCACCACTGAGTTAGGATTCAGGCGGGGAGGTGGACACTCAGGTATTTCCAGCTGCCTTGCTCGTTCCCACGTGAGCCAGGGGCACAGATGCTGACCACCCTGCTGAGGACTGACAGGGAACAAGTCGGAAACGCAGCCCACGCTGGGCTCACGCAGAGCTCCGAGGGGAGGAGCCGGTGGCACCTGCACTTTGTCAGGTCCTCCAGGGCCTTCAGCTGGCCCCTGCTGAGCCTCACCAACCCAGGTGTGCCCTGCAGCTTGGTAGTGATGCCGAGCACCCCCTGCCCCACCACCCAGTCAGAACCTGATTTCAACAGAATCCCTGGAGATCCCTAAAGGTGGGGACATCTCTCTCCCGCCCAAACCAGAACACACGGGGGGGGGGGGCAAACCCCCTCCAGGACTTTCTTGGCCCACTGCAGGAGAGCAGGGGTGGGGGAGGACCAGTGGATGGGGCAAGGGCTGTAGAGGGCAGGGCCTCCACGTGGAGGCCAGCCACAGGGAGCTGCTGCTGCTGTTTAGACTTCCTGACACGAGATAAATTATCTACAAAGGAGAAGACAAAAGGTATGTGCACCTGTAGTCCCCCACCACCAAACACCATCCCTGTCCGTCCTCCTAGACTTTTGACGCGGTCCTCTATCAGGAACAGAGTCGTGAAGGTACAGCGACTGCTGCTGGGTGTGCTTTTCCTAACTCATCCTGGGATGCCATCTCAGCAGGGCGGGAGCCATGGCCACAGGCAGCTCTCTCCTCTGACACTGGAGGCCCAGGCCTGTCCCATGCAGATTTCCCTCTGTGTCCAGCTGTTGTAATAAAACCAACCATGAGCGCATCCCGTGTGTTCTCTTAGTGAATTGTGGTTTGGGAGACCCCAAAGCAGCTGCCCCCAAGATAACCTGTTACCTCCTGTAGCCACAGGGACCAGGTTTCTGAAAATGAAACCCAAAGTCTAATCTGGTGGGTGTCTGCATTATCATGCAAGTTGTGGGTCTCTGGGTAAATTTAGGGCATTGTTAGAGAAAGAATGGGCCTCCGCCATTAGGATGGGGATCTGTGGGCAAATTGGGTGGAGCTGGGGATCTTTAGGTGCAGAATCCCAAAACATGTGGGTGAGCAAGTTTCCCAGCACCCCTGAAGTGCCCTGGGGTGGAGAGGAAAACCAAAGGAACGGGCCCCCTGGACAGGTAGTGTCCCATGGGATGGCAGACCTCACGGGCAGGGCCAGGAATCTGCGCTGACTCAGGGTGGTCTCGGGCACTGTGGTGGTCTGTGCAGAGAGGTGCATTCTCATGGCTCAGGACCCCCTGGCATTTGAGCTGGCAGCCCTTGGGCTGGGACACTCTCCTTCCAGACTAGAGACAGGCTCTGCAGAAGCCCAGAAGCTCTGGTTTGGAGACAGGTCCAGCTCAGCCTCACACTTTCTGCCTGTGACTTTGCTCACAGTCATTCTGTGACTCCTGCCAGCTGGACTGCTGGGGCAGCTCTGGGCTCACCCACATTACCCCAGGACAGGAAGCTTCCATGGGTCCCAGTGGCAGATGCCCGCTCTCTTGTGGGTTTGTTCCAAGTGCCAAGGTTGAATCTCAGTCCTGAATGCTGTAGAAACAGACTGCACAAGGATGCTTTTCTCTCAATTTGATCTTGGATCCAAGTCTCACAAGTTGATCCCGTGACTCTGCTGCCCGCAGGGCTACAAAAGCCCACAGTCCTCTGGCTGGGAATGAGATATTCAGTTTGACAGTTCAGACAGGTGACGTTTCCTTCCTTGTCCCCAGCCCCTGTATAAAGAGGAAGTTTTGAGCTGGCAGCGACACATCCAGGCTGCACGGCTGGGCTGAGCAGACGGAGGGAAGGTAAAGCCTCTGGGGACCTGGGACTGTATCCGAGGGCAAGGAAGGCAGACTCTTAAGTAATCAGAATCAATGAAGCCGACCAGCTGGGGGCTTCATGGGAGAATGACGGCTCGAAACCACTGAAGTCGGAGTCACTGGGCAGACACTCGCTTCCCGGGTGGCAGAAAGGCTGGCTCTGGTGCACAGTGGTCTCGCCCTCTGGGCTCCTGCAGGTGGACCAGAGGAGTGGACTGGCTGCAATGGGGACGATGGAGGCCTGCTGGGTGCTGGGGCTGGCCCTCTGCCTCCTGCTGGGGCCTCTTGCAGGTGAGGGGCCACCCCGGGACAGACCTCTGCCCTCTGGTGCTCTCCCCTCCATACTGCGGTCCACTCAGCAGTGTGGGTCAGGTCTGGGATGCTTGGTTGATGGCCTCCCCTTCCCTTTGCAGGGGCCAAGCCTGTGCAGGAGGGGGCAGGTAAGCTCTTCCTGGCTTTCTTCATTGACATCAATAACTGGGTGGGGTGGAAGCAGTGGTGGCTGGGGCCAGGGCTTCTTCACCAGACAGACATGATGGGCAGCCTGGCTCAGCTGAGAGGAGGTGGGTCACTGCCAGCAGGCCCTGCCCAGCAGCCTGGGAACACACCTGGCCAATGAAGCCCCGAAATTCCCACCCTCAGGCCTGGGATTGGTCCGGGGCCCTCCCTCAAGTTCAAACACAGGTATTATCTGGGTGTCTTTGCCCAAACTCTAGGACCAGGAAGCTCTGCTCTCCTCTGAACCCCTCCCAGGACCCTGCCCAAGCCCCTTCAATCCTACCAGCCAGCTCCTCCCAGCTCAGCACCTCCCCGAGGAGTGAGGGTGGCCTCCCCTCTCTCCCTCCCCTCCCCTTCCTCCTCCCCCACCTCAGGTCCTCATCCCTCCCCTGACTCTTCCTCTGTCCCTAGGCCTGGCACCCTTAAGATGCAGGGACACTGGCCCCTGTTCCTAGGATGATGAGGGGCAGCCTGGGCCCTGCTCCAGGCCAGAAAGCCCCACCACTGTAGGTGCTGCTGGGCTGTCCACCTGCCCCAGGGTCTCCAGGCCGTGGGCAGCCCCTGAGGTGGCCTCCTGTGTCTCTCAGACCCCTATGCTGAGCCTCCGGCCCTGCCCTACTGGCCCTTCTCCACCTCTGACTTCTGGAACTACGTGCAGTACCTGCAGAGCCTGGGTGCCTACCCACAGCTGGAGGACCTGGCCCGCACTTTCTTTGCCCACTTCCCCCTGGGGAGCACCCTGGGCTTCCACGTCCCCTACCAGGAGGACTGAGCAGCATCCAGCCTGATGCCTGCCTGGCTGCACTGCCCTTGCCTGGGGGTGACCCATAGCCATGGTGGGGTGGGGGTCTGGTGGCTTCACACCAGTAAACCTCCCACTGAAGAGACACCACAGGCCATGGGGCGCCACAGGCCAGGGACACACTCTGACCTACCCCACAGCTGCACACAGTGCCTCCGCTCTATTGTCTCGCCAGCTGACCTGGCTGGCTCTGATCCCTGGGGACTCTGCTTTAATAAATGTCTGCACACTTTCACCCATGGGGAGTCGCCTCTGTGTCACCCCCTCCTCCAGTTCTCTCGATGACCCTCAGATTGCCGGTGAGGAGACTGAGGCAGGAACAGAGGCTTGGCCTGAATCGTTAAAGCCATTCAGCTGGTCAGAGGAGCTGGTTCCCGCCCCAGCAGGGGACACGGAGTTGGGCAGCAGTCAGCCCAGGCCAGGTGTCCACACTTCACACAGAGCACACTCCTGAGAGCAGCAGGGAATGAGGACACGTGAGCCCAGCTGTGAGGGGAGTCAGGGCCCAGGTTCAGGCTCCGCGGCTGAGGAGGGAGTGGGAGGGTGGACAGGCAGTGCAGGAGTGCCTCAGGTCCAGCCCCAGTGCAGGGAGACCAGTCTGTGCAAGGTGTGCGAGCCAAGAGGACCGTGAGGCTCACACCAGTCAGGGAAGAGAGCCAGCCAGTGGCAGGCCCCGCAGTGCCTCAGGGGACACACTCTGACCTGGCATCTGAGGCTCCTCTGCCCTGAATCCAGTCCCTGTCCACTCAGGCCAGGCTGGCCCCTGTGCAGGCCACAATACCCTCACATCTCTGCTCTGTCCCTTGGCCTCCACAGCCCCTCCCAACTTCCATGTCCACCTACTCCTGAAAGTTAAGGAAAAGATGATTCAAGGACACTAACAGGGAGTAAGAGACTCCATTCAGGACTACCAAGTCAGGGGCCAGGGCCTGTGGGGCCTCCCAATGGGAAAGACTGCGTTCAACTGCAACAGCAGCAGCAATGGGGTGGACAGCAAGGAGCAGGCTGGGTGATGGACGGAAAGTGACTGAAGGTGGCACAGTGGGTCTTGCTAAACAGGACTTGCGGAAGGAGGCCAGGGAGCTCAGATACCCACGGGTGTGAGGGCGGAGGAACCCCATCAGATGTCGGCGTGATCACATCTGGCTGCGCTGGCTTAGCAGGGCTCGTGCAGAGCTGGGCCTCCGACAGGAGGCGGCTGCACTCTGGACCAAGTGGAGTCCAGGCGCCTCCTGCTCCCTCTCGGCTCTGGTCTCTCCCTCCTTTCCTTCCCTGCCCCCTTTTCTCCGTCACAAATTGTGGCAAAACAATACAACATGAAATTTCCACCTTAACCATATTCAGTGTCACCAGGCACGTTCCCGACTCCTCCAACGGGACACCGTGTCTTTCGGTGACCGGCTTATTTCAGTAACCCGATGTCCTCGAGGCTGGCCCTCGCTGACCGCGGGGAACGTGCCTCCTGGGTGGCACTGCGCTCGCAGGAGTCCGCTTCCCACCGGGGACGCGCTCCGGAGGGGTCTCGGGGCGGCCCTGGGCGGTATTCCGCGGACTCGGGGATGTCCTCCGGTCGCCGCGAGGTCCCGCCTTCGCGGGCGGCCCCAGAACGCGGACGCGGGTGGCGCGCGGCGGCTGTGAAGGTCGCTGCGCGTCCCCGAGCCCGTCGTCCGCATCCTTCTCCGGGAAGAGCTGCCGTGCCCGGCCCGCTCCACGTCGGGCTTCGACGTCCAAGAGCTCCCCGCTCCCTCCACCCGTCGGCTGCGACACAGCCTCCGGCTCCCGGCGCCCTCCCCGGGCACGCAGGTCGGCGAGACCAGCCCAGCTCCCGATGGCGCGGCACGGAGCCCACCCGGGCTGGCCGGGGCCCGCGGCGGGCACCACCGAGTCGCGGTCCTCCAGCGTCTAGACCTGCCGGGTGGGAGCGCCGGAAGTAGGCGCGGCGAGCCGGAAGTGGGCAGAGCGCGACGGCCCGAGATGAAGCCGGCGGTGGACGAGATGTTCCCCGAGGGCGCCGGTCCCTACGTGGACCTGGACGAGGTGAGGTGGGAGCGTCGGCGTTCCGGCCTAGCGTAGGGGCGGTTGCCGGAAGGCGGGAGCTGGTTCCCCGCCTGGCGACGCCCGCGCGTCTTGGGGACGAGCCTGGCCGGGGTGCGCAGCCCCTGCCTGCAGGGGCCCGCGGGGTGGGTACCGCGGGAGGAGAGAACGCAGGGCCAGACGGCGGAGCGGCACGCAGCCGGCGGGTCCTGCGCATCCCACTCCCGGGGCCCCGAGCCCAGCTCCTGGCAGGTTTTAAGGCCCCTGCGGGAGGCCTCAGGCCCCGATTTGCCAGGCGCTGGAAAATGGAAGTAGAAAGGAACTTGAAGAAGGCCTGCAGAAGGCCGGTGGGAGCAGGGAGAACCCCAACCCAGGATTTACGTGGTGGCGTCTGCGTGGCTTCCTGCAGTGTTGGGATGGGGAGGCTGGCTGAGAAGGGGGGAGTCTTGGAACCTTGGCAGCAGCCTGACACGGAGCACGGGAGGCGTTTGTCACTGAGAGTTGAGCACACGCCTTCGAGGATGTAGGGACCAGAGCAGGAACAGGCTTCTGTGGCCAGCCATCCAGACGGCTACCATCAGAGGACACTGCACTGATCCTTCCCAGGCGACTGAGCAACGTGCAGAATCCTGAGTGCATTCTGTTGCCCAGCGGTGGCAGTGACCTGATTTTGCCACCAGAGGAGCTTCAGCTGTGGGAGGCTCTGAGGGCACACCAGGGCCAGGGCAGGTCAGCTTCCAAGGGAAATGGTTGCATTCTCAGAAGGGAGGGGTCCAGAATAGTCGCCAGGCTGGGGCCGCACCTGCTTGTGGTCTCTGTGCAGTGTCCAGGAGGGGACTGGAGGCCGAACTTGAGGTCCACAGATGAGGAGTGGCACTCAGGGCAATGGAAATTCTCTTTTTGAAAGAAAGGGAAAAATTAAGGAATGTAGAATTTTAAAAACGGCTCCTTGAATTCCCCCTTCACACACATTCTTTATTTGCAACTAAAATTCTTAACTCCATCCTGAGTACTTGCCTGTCACCCCTCACCCTGTTCCTGTTCCCTGGAGGTATGGGGTGCTATGACAACTCAAAGCTGTTTTGGGGAAAGAGCTCACATAACTTACCTTTCACTCCCCAGGCAGGAGGCAGCACTGGACTCCTGATGGACTTGGCAGCCAATGAGAAAGCAGTCCATGCAGACTTCTTTAATGGTAAGGGTGCTGGGATTATGCATGCCTGGTTTTACTTAAAAGTTTTTCCTGTAAGTTAATACAGTGGGTCGATCTTGTGACCTGAATAATTAGGATCATGGAACAGTGAAGCCAAGGCACTGTCGTTCTCAGAGTACAGTGCAGAAGCGATCACACTGGCTGTCGGCCAAATCTGGAGAAGCATGAAATTGCTCCCAGACTCACATGGTAGGGCCTGAGATTGAGTAGGTGGCATGAATGTTAGCACATGCTAACAGACAGTTGTGGCTGGCCTGTCACCCTGGACAGGTTCTCTCGGGTGGCTGTACTCTCCTGCTCTTCCCTCCCTTCTTCCTTTCCTATGCTTGTCTGCCCTTGGCTGTCTTTGCAAGGAGCAGCCACTCTCCAGCTTCAGCCCTTCCCCGTCTTTGAGTCAGGACGAGGACACACTTCATCTTGTTCAGAACTTTTCATGCTAGCTACCCAGGAAGTTTTACCAAACGCACACTGAAAGCCGACCTCTCATGAACCTTCAGGTGTGCTAGAGGGCATGTTTCTCTTATTCCTCTGGTTTCTGCAGGCTTTGTCCATACAGGTTATTTGGGCCCTTGCCAAGGGTTCAAACAGAGGAAACATTACATACATTTCCTGCTCAGAAGGGTAAGTGAGATTTCTCTCCTTTTTCTGTCCTGCTGTAATCACATGATTTTTGTCCCTACAAAGAACTTTTGTTACTCCCTAGTAGCAGCTGGGGTGTGATCGTGCCACGTTGGTGTCTGCCTTTACAAATAATCCCTGAGTCCATGCTGGTTTGGCTCACTGTCCAGGAGGAGGAACCTTGCTGCTAAATAAGGTGTAGTCTTTCCAGGGGACCTGGCTGCCACCAACTGATATCAGACATCCCATAACCTTGGAGCTGAGCTTTGAGAGCCTCAGTAGCCTTTCCTCTAAATTCTGCCCAAGGGAACACAAGGTGCGGAAGGGTGGACGCCTTCCAGAGCTTCCTTGGTGAGGAGGGTGGCTTACACAGGGCACCTGGGATTCTCACCAGGCAGGGCTGTCTCATTCCTAGTGCTGGACCATTAATTCACAGTTCAGTCATCTTCAAAAGTCCCTTTTGTCCTTTGCTAGCCTCTTAAATTAGAGGTGATTGACTGCGTTCAATGGTCAGTGCTGAGATTTCCAAAGATGGCCCTTGGATTCCAGTGAGAAGGATTTCCAAAGACAGTCAGTGGATTCCTGTGCACCTGCCTCTGGGCTCAGGAGCATGTCAGAGTCCTCCTGCAGGCGCTGCCCGTCTTGGGTGGTGGCTGTTGTTGTCCACGAGGAGCCTCTGGCTTCAGTTGAGATTTCTCCCACAGCCCTTTGGCTCGTCAGCTGGGTGGACTTTGGGATCCATTGTCTGCTGGGCAGTGGGTCCTCACGATGAGAGTGACTTGCTCTCTTCCCTGGCTTGTTTCACAGTGCAGTGGAGGAGTTAGACGAGGTGGCAGGCAGGGACAGAACTGCACCCTGAGGGCTGGGTGGGATTGCCCTGGAACGTGTCTCCTTGTGAAGATGTGGAGCAGAGGAATGCTCTGGGGAGAGGGAAAGAAGTGTCTAGAGCAGTAGCACCACACAGAGAGGTCAGTGGGCAGCGAGTACTCCCTCTGTGGCCAGAGGAGCTGCCCTTCCCCAAAAAGGCCAGTGCGGGGCCTGCCCCAGCGCTCTGTCTGACCACGTCCTCAGGCCAGGGCCCACAGGAGGGGGCTTAGTTCTTTCTTTTCCCATGGTGAAGGGGATGCTGGCATGAGGTCCAGAACTTGGAAGGTGCCCAGAGAAAAACAGAAGGACAAATTGGCCCTGGCTGTGGTCACCCGGCCAGTGCCTTGTGTGTTTATCCAGCTGCTTCTGGCAGGAATGGGGCTTCGTTGTGTCTTGAACTCACCTTTTCCAGGCCCCCTAAGGCCATTCTCAGTGGCGCAGTCCTTCTGCCACCTTTCTGCAGCCCCTCCACATGTCACCCTTAGCACAGGTGTCAGTGCAGC